TTATATGTCTGGTAGAAATTTTGATCAAGTTATATGTTACTTTTTGTCTATTGAAGCATGGTTGAAGATGCCCAACTTTTCTGACAAATGTAATTTGCAAACAGCAGGGAGTACTACAGGCGGAGCCTCCTCATCCCGAAGACGTTATAATGGCATGTGACACCTTTTGTCACCTGTGTATTTGTTTACCTTTTTATACCTCCAGGGTGTATGTGACAAGGTTTTGCTCGTCTGTCTTATGATGTATTAAATGATCCATGGCTTTTTTGCCAACAGAAACTGGATCATCGCCTTGAAGGTGAAGAAACCATACAGTAAGCGGCTCAAGCTCAAGCTGCATGCAGCGCATACTGAGTCCGGATTACATGTCACGAGTCATTTTATGATGGGAATGGAAATCTTTTTTTACTAAGGCCATTCTTTGGCTGCCCACATGTGCAAAATACAAAAGTGAGCCGGACCAAAAACATGAAACTTCATACTAAAGTGCACAGGTAAAACGGCAGTAAACAAAGAGGGTAACTGGCCCAGTGACCCTTCTTCCACTTCCAAGTCTAAAAATCCCATCTTGTTAGAGTTGAATCAATGGATTTCTAAATGTTAACTTAGGTCTAGTATTATTTCTGGTGAATTTTCTGAGGCCATTGAAACTCGTTCACCATGATTTGTGTACGAATATGTACCCCAAGTTCACTCTTTGGGGGTAACTTTTCAGTGGACAGAAATGTTTGTTACAGTTTTTTGTTAGTAGTACTATGATTTGTGTATGGATATGTACCCCAAGTGTAAGGACATAGCTCACTATTTTAGGGTACCTTTGGGAAGAAATGTTTATTACAGTTTTTGTTTGTTCACTATGATTTGTGTATGGATATGTACCCCAAGTGTAAGGACATAGCTCACTATTTTAGGGTAACTTTGGGAAGAAACGTTTATTACAGTTTTTGTTTGTTCACTATGATTTGTGTATGAATATGTACCCCAAGTGTAAGGACATAGCTCACTGTTTTAGGGTAACTTTGGGAAGAAATGTTTATTAAAGTTTTTGTTTGTTTACTATGACATCAAGTGTAAAGGCATAGCTCACTGTTAGGGGGTAACGTTGGACAGAAATGTTTGTTACAGTTTTTGTAAGTGGTAACAAAATTTGTGGATAACTATGTACCCCAAATGTAAGGACATAGCTGTCCACTTTAATAGGAGTGGTAATTGAACACGATATGTTTCAGGCTATACTGTGTATTGATAATAAACAATTTAGTTGCAGGAGCTCCTATTAAGCCTGTACGTATCCGAATGTATCCTGAATGGGAATATGGTAAAGGTATTTAAAGTTCAAATCCTGAGGTACGCATTTGTCAGGGGTCATTTCTGTACGAATCCCGGGCAAATCCGAGCGTCTGCTGTGTGGAATATTCGGATTTGTACGGAATAGGTTCCGGATTACAGTAAACCGATGTTTCGGATTTCTGACGGATTCCATTCCGTGATCCGTCAGTACCCGCTTGTATCTGCCAACAATTCCGGAAAATCCCGGTACGCATCTGCCAAGATCCAAATTCTTTTCTGTGCGTATCCTGGCAAAATCCGAACGTATCCTGTGTGGAATATTTACTACAAGGATCCCGTTTTTCCGGATTTGTACGGAATAGGTTCCGGATTACAGTAACCGATGTTTCGGATTTTCTGGCGGATTCCATTCTGATCCGTCAGTATCCGCTTGTATCTGTCAGCAATTCCGGAAAATCCCGGTACGCATCTGCCAAGATCCAAATTCTTTTCTGTGCGTATCCTGGCAAAATCCGAACGTATCCTGTATGGAATATTTACTACAAGGATCCCGTTTTTCCGGATTTGTACGGAATAGGTTCCGGATTGCAGTAACCGATGTTTCGGATTTTCTGGCGGATTCCAATCTGATCCGTCAGTATCCGCTTGTATCTGCGAAAAATACGGACAAATCCCGGTACGCATCTGCTAGGATCCGAGGCCATTTCGTGCAGTGTTGAGGAGATCAAAAAACGGAACCAGAAGACTGAGCTGCGAGTAGCCGAACTTGAAGGTGAGTAGCTACATGTAGCATTTCTATCTTATCGGAGTTCAATAGACTGATATTAGTTGTTTTGTTTATTCAAAAGATCGCCATCATTTAGAATGTACAATGTATACTACACTTATTTTCCTGGACTCATGTAAGTCATTCAATAGACTTGATTCACATTGTGTGTACTTTTTGCACTGTGTGTGTGTGTGTGTGTGTGTGTGTGTGTGTTAAAATCACAGAATTATTACATGTACATTGTGTAAAGGAACCTAACCCTCCTTCATCAACATTATACATCTAATATATAAATGCAGAGCAATTGTGGTGTACTGTTTTCTCCCCATCATGATCTCTTGTAAACCTATAATTAAATCTTATTTTTCAGGGATGTGTATTTCATCCGGCAAACCCGGCCCGCCTGGCCCTCCAGGCGAGAAGGGCGCCACAGGGCCAGTTGGCCCCGGGTCTGTCGGGCCTCCTGGAAAAAAGGGAGCCATGGGGCCTCCTGGAAGAAGGGGGCCACGGGGCCTCCTGGCCCTGGGTCTGCCGGGCCTCCTGGAAAAAAAGGGGGCCCACGGGG